GAGAAAATGGAAGTTGCAACACCCTGGGTAAAATGGAATTCCAAAGGCTGACGTGCTCAGACAAGTGGAGAGATGGAAGTGGACACTTCTCACTTCTGAACTCTGAAATAACCAACTTGGGAAACTGCAAGTCAGAGAGAGGAGATCAGCAATAAAGCTATGAAATCAAGAATGTTATAAAAGCAGAATAGCAAATGCAAACCTAATTCCTAAGAATATGAAGAGAAACACAGCATCAGCAAATATGAGCTTTAGAAATATGCAAAGCTGCTGAAAGCAACCTGAAGGAGAAAAAAAGGCTTGGAAACACAGAGAAATAGAATATGGGATAAATTAATCTGTGTTTTGGTTTGTTTTAAGGTCTTTTTTTCAGAAAGGTAGATTATTCTAGGATGACAAATATTTCATTACCTGCCTTTGATTAGGTTACTAATTTTATAGGCAAAAGAAACAGAATCATTTATCAGCACTTCAGTCAAAATACGATTGGATGTCATGGAGGGAAACAAATTGGCTGGAGAGGGTGGTTAGGAAAAAGTTGTGAAGAGGGTAAGGTATGGTTTAAGAGACTGTGTTCGAAGTCTGGGAGGAAATAACTAATAGGGTTCCTCAAAGATTGATCTTTGGGACCACTGGTATTCAATAAATTAATTAGCTATTCAATAAATTAATTAGCAATTCCAGCAAGGTAGGACCTTGCTATTGAAATATGCTGCTCACACAGAAGCAGCAGGCACTCAGTAGTGTGAAGGATATGGATAATACTTCGGAATGACTGGAACAATCCAGAGAAAATATAATGGGGATGCATTCTAGACAAGGAAAATACAGTACATCATGTATCAAAGACTCTCTTTTCAACAGAGATAAATCAGGCATTAATAACATTCCACAAGACTCCAGCATCTAAATTTGAATGTTCACCCACGCTTAAAAAAAATAATAAAAAATATATATAGATGTTTATTCCAATGGGAACAAATAAAAGAAAAGTTTTACTAGATTAATATAGGAAATGGAGTGCTATTTCCTGAGAGAGACTGCCTGGCTCACATGATTAATAAAATTTGAGTGGGAATCTGTACCTTATAAATTTTTTGGGCTACACATTATAATTAGTAAGAAGACCTAATTAACATAAAGCAGTTGATTGTAAAAGGATCCAGCTATCAAATACAGTAAACTTAAAAATTAGAGGTTAGAAAGAGGTTTTCAAATGCCAGAGGTGTGAATTTTTGGAGCGTGAAACTCCGCTACTCCTAACTAGCTAATTTAAAGGCAGATCTTGAAGAGTCTCCAAAAAAACCCCACACTTTACTGTCTGCAGTTAAGGGAGATGGACAGAATGACACAGGCAGCTCTTTCCAGTCCACTGTTCCCAGTAGCTGGAAACAGAGTGAGGAGTGTTAGGACTAAGAGAAATTAAAGTTGACGTCAATGCTTTAACTTAACTCAGAGGAATGAGATTTGAAACTTGAATTGGGGTTGAAAACGGATGGGTTTGTTGCTAACTACAGGCATCAAACTTGTTTGTGTGGACAAATTACTTGATAAAGGAACAAAAATTACTACTGACTTTTTGCACAAGCATTAGAGATCATGTATTAATCAGGTATTTTTCACTGCCTCGTAGCAGCCAAGATGGTTTAGCAGGATCCTGAGCTTTTAGTTTGTTTTTTCCACAGCTGGCTCATCAATCCATTTCTAGGGAAATTAGGATTACTTCCTGCAATATACAACAATTATTTCCTGAGATGAACCAACTATCAGTTATTGTGCCTTAAAATTAGACCAGAAAATTTGCCCATCCCTATTTAAATGATGTTTGAAGATCATGCTAACACGGCAAAGCAAGGGAATGCAAAGCACAGGCCTTCTATTCTGAGCCAGCACTACTGCGACTTTTCTGTCAAGTAATGCAAATAACAATAATTCTTAGCACTTACTGTGCATGATGCTTCTTATCTTCAAAGCGCTTTACAATTATTTACTGCTACTTAATCTGGAAAAAGTATGATTTCAGGCTGGCTTCTGGGATCTTGTGTGACAAAGTTTATGTCATTTGCATTGACTCGGTATTTAATAGGATAGAACTGCAGTACTTTAGTTTCAACGCTATTGTTCCATTAAAAGCCAATTACAGAAATTCAGCTTTCCCCTGAATTTATAGAGCGCTTTTTTTTTTTTTTTAAATACAGACCAGATCTACCTAAATACTTATCCGAATTGAGCATTCCCAATTCTGACTAAAGCCTTAGGAGCCTTTGGAGAAGCGACGCTCCACGAGCGGGGCCGCGGTACCGCCTGCGGGCGGCAGAGGGCGCCCGAGATGTGTCCATTCGCCACGGGGCCCCGAATATCGAGCGCAAAAAAAAAAAAAAAAAACCAATTTCGGCACCACACAAAGTGCCGCTGCTCAGCATTAAACACACGCATAGCAGCGTTTGACTGTTTTCCGTCCACGCAACTTTTCGGGTTTAAATTCTAATACGGGTAAATCCTAGCGTATTTTATTCTGATCGTTCTGCATTAAACAGGATATCAAATGGTGGCACTAAAATGACGTCGGGGCAATCCCAAGCTTAAGTGCGGTCTGAGTGGAGAGAGGTATACCCAAGAAGAAGGTTGATGTAAAGCTCAACACGACCAAGCAATGAGCTCTGACAGCCCGGAAATTCTCCCGTGTCCCAGGCTGTCTCAAAAGCAGCATGGGCAGCAGGTCGAGCGAAGGGATCCTGTCCCCTTCCACTCTGATGACACCTGACCTGCAGCACCACATCAGCTCCGTGCTTACTTCAAAGATACAAAGGACATGGACCTGTTGGAGCAAGTCCAGAGAAGGTCACAGAGATGTTCTGAGAACTGCAGCAGCTCTGCTCTGCAGCCAGGCTGAGAGAGCTGAGGGTATGCGGTCTGGAGAACAGAGGAGAGGCTCTGGGGAGACCTCAGAGCCCCTGCCAGTGCCCAAAGGGGCTCCAGGAGAGCTGGAGAGGGACTGGGAACAAGGGATGGAGTGACAGGACAAGGGGGAATGGCTTCAAACCGACAGAGAGCAGAGTTAGAGCAGAGATTAGTTGTTCAGAGAAAATGTGGCTGCCCCATCCCTGGAAGTGTTCAAGGCCAGGTTGGATGAGGCTTGGAGCAACCTGGGATAGTGGGCAGTGTCCCTGCCCCAGGCAGGGGATGGAACAAGATGAACTTTAAGATCCCTTCCAACACAAATAATTCTGAGAGTCTTTGATTCTATGAAAAAGAACATTTGAATACTGCCACAAAAAGTAACTACCTGAATTCCATTATAATGCATTGACTTGGTGACCATCACTATATCAGTTTTCTCTGAATCTTTGAATCTACTGCAAATGAACTAATTTTAAGTTGCTCCCTTTATAAGTAAATTCTTTTGCTATAGATAAAGCATTTTGTCTAAACTCAAATGAGTGATTGTGACTTATGGCTCTTCACATGCACCTGATAGTTTTTACAAGACACCTTGCAGCAGAGCTAGGAAGGGAACCAGTGGGATGTGACCAAACAACCACAATCACTATCTGGTAAAATCGTGGCTGCTCTCATGTGCCACAAGAGGGATTGCAAAGCTGTTTCCACTGACAAGGATTTTAGCAGTTGAACATACAAGGACTGTCAAAATGTAACCTGAACATAGACCTAGTGAGAAGATGAGGCTGAGAATTAAAAGGAAAGTAATTGACAAATGAAAGGCAGGGTTTGGAAACTGAAACCACTCCTTGTACTTCAGCCTGGTGGCAGAGAGCTCACATATCGCACCATGGAATTACTGATGAGCAAACATAGGCACTGTCAGGCCTGACACAGGTATACCTACTGTGGTGGCACTGCTTCAGCCCTGCCAGGCCTGACACAGGTGTGCCTACTGCGGTGGCACTGCTTCAGCCCTGCCAGGCCTGACACAGGTGTGCCTACTGTGGTGGCACTGCTTCAGCCCTGCCAGGCCTGACACAGGTGTCACAGGTGTCACTGCTGTGGTGGCACTGCTTCAGCCCAGGCTGTGTGTGTGGTACACGTGTGCCAAACCTGGCTAAATAAGGTCACCATTCCACCCAGCCTCCTGCACCCAAAACTTTATTTCCCCTCTCGAAGTTGCCACCTTACACGGTTGTCACTCCTGCAGCTCAAAAACACAGGGTTCAGTCTGCTCATGGCTATCTCAACAATGGATCTAGAGAGTATTCATTAAGTTATGTTAGTAAATTGATCTGACCCCAGTGACTTATTGGGAGAAGAGGCTCAGTGTCCCCGGGACAGTCTGGGTGTCCCCGGACCGTCCCACCGTGTCTGCTCACAGCCGCGAAGCAGAAACACGTCGGGTTTCCCACACGGACCGTGGCGGCCCAGCCGTCTGTGGGTGCCGGGAGGCAGATCCCCATAAAGAAAGAAGTTGTGACAGAGCGCCCTATAAAGCCGGGACCAGGGTATGGCCGTCGAGTCTCTTCCCCCGTCTGTGCTTGCCCACAGCGGCACGGCCGGGCATCCCAGCGCGGCTCGCAGAGCGCACCCAGGCTCGGCGGGGCGGAGGAGGGGCCGCCGCCGCTTTAAACTTGCCGTGAGGGCCGGGCCGCCCCGCCCGGGGCAGCGGGGTCCGCTCAGCGCCCCCGGCACCGCCCCCGGCACCGCTCCCCTCAGCCGCGGCTCCGTGCTGCACGGAGGGCGGCGGAGCGGCGGGCCCGGCCGCGGGCTGTGAGGGGACCCCGCCGTGCCCCGCGGGGGGAGCCGGGCAGCGCCGCCGCCTCCCGCCCGCCTCAGCCCGCCTCCCGCCCGCCATGGCCGCCCGCCGAGCCGAGCGGCGCCGAGCCGAGCTCCGCGGCAGTGCCGGGCTCTGGCCGCTGCCTGGCAGCGCCCCGTGAGCGGGGACAGCGGGCGGCGTGTCCCTGCGCTCGGTCCTGCCCCCCGTCCTCCTCCCGGAGCGGCGATGAGCGAGACCCGCGCCGGGGGAGTCGCCGCCTAGACCGGCAGCCAGGATGGTGCCCCTGCAGCCCCTGCCCCTCGTCGTGGTCCAGGGCGTCCTCCAGCTCGTAAGTCTCCGTCCCTGCGGCTCCCGGACTCTCACGGAGGGTTTGGGGACACCGGTGCCTTCCTCCGGGGAGCGCGGCGGGCGCGGTCCCTTCTGCAGCCCGGTTCCGAGCAGCTCCCCAAACCTGCCTCCCACAGCCCCTAACATATTCTTGGTTTTCTCTCTTTTTTTTTTTTTCCTCTCTTTTTTTTCTTTAATTTTTTTTTTCTTATTTTATTTTAATGAAGCGGTTTTGTCTCTGCTCGCCCCGTTTGGGGATGCAGGATGCTCGCGTTCCCGAGCCCAGCGCGGCCCCGGGGGCCGGGATGCGCCGGGAGCTGGAAAATACCGCGGGCAGGGATGGGAGGGATATGTGTGTGTGTGTGTGTGTGTGCCGAGCATCACCGAGACTGCCCGCTCCCGGAAAGTTTTCTGCTGGCCTCAAGCGCCTTTTTTTTCGCGTGCAAGACATAGCTGGGTGTGCAGGTAGAGTCACCTGCGCTCGGGAAGCTGCCCCGTTAATTTCGTCTTGCTGCGGCGAAACACCCCAGGCGTTTCATTAATTTTTATCAGAAACTGCGGGACACGCCGGTGTTGTGCTGAATATTCCGCTGCATGCGGTGGGGGAATGCGGGGACTGACGTGGTGGCAAGGTGAGATGTGCGGACTGCGAAATTGGGAGCTGTGAAGGGAGGGAGGCGAAGCGAGGTGCGCGGCTGGGGACGGGCGAGGAGCTCAACTTCTCCCACGCCCAGTGCCTCGTTCGTGGGGCGCTGATGGTAGGAAGCAAATGGACTGATGCTCGTGTTCATAAAGAGGAAAAAAACGCATTTGCCAAAGAGTTTGGCCATCTTCGCTTTTATTTCGAAAAGATTGTAACTTCACTAGCTGCTTTGGGGGGAGTTTTGATGTTACTCTCATAAACACCTCTGCTGCAAAAGTTATGCCTCTCTTCCCCAGCTGCCTTGGACGTGAAAGTTTGTCACGAAGTAGTCAATAGGGAGTGTGTAATAAACCTTGAAGGGATTAAACACCCTCCTTAAGAGCTGGAGTCTAGTATTACAGCGTGAGGTGATTGATTAGTTTTTGAGGAAGCTTATGTCAAATTCTAATCCGGTTTTGGATTGTGCTTGTCGTGTAATGTTTTTTGCTCCAGCACTTTATCATAGCAGTGAAGTAGCGAGCTGCAGCCCTGCGATAAGGCGCACATTTCTTTCACACTCCCATCCTTTTGGACAATAAAAGGCTGTTTACATTCTTCACATTCTTGCAGCCCAGTTTCCAACTAAACAACGCGCAGGGGTGAGAGATGGGAAAGGAGAACAGCAAATGGATTACAAAGTTGCTGAGCAGGAGGGAACTAAATAAAAACTCCTTCCTCACACCTACAACCTCACTCACTCACACCCTCCTTTTTTCTTCTTTTTTTGTTTTCTTTTTTTTTTAAGAGCTATCAAAGGGGTCAATTGAAACTTGTACCGTGGGGATGGGGTTTGTTATGCGATGTTTTATGGATGATGTTGGGAAGTTGCTTGATGTGAGTGAAGACTGACTAAATGAAGCAAAGTTGCTGCCTTGAATCAAACAAGAATCATAAATAGCCAATGCAGGTTCTCAGGTGGATGTGGCACTGAGCTCACCCAGGAGGATTCATTTTTTCTGCATTCTTTAGATACAAACCAACAAGGTTTTAGAGTCAATTAGTTTCATAGCTTAGGTAAGTTAGTTTAAATAATAAAGCAAAATGAGAATGTGTAAGATTTGTGAGGCATTTTAGGTGTACCTTTTAATGCTAATCTACTACTAAAAAGGTATGTAAATGCATTTTGGCATGCTCTTACCAGAACATCCAGTTAAAGTTAAAGCTTATTATAAATTAAGAAATATCTGATGTTGGTGGTAATGCACTGCATGCAAGTCTGCTATTCTTTGTTCTCCAGCCAGAATTTGGAGGGACTGGTGGCTTCCTGGAATCTGATTAGCAGGTTTAGAAGGGAGGCATTGGTGTTACTGATTCTTGACTTTTTCTTTCCTTTTTTGATCAAAAATCAATGTAGATAATATTAGTAATACAGTGAAGGCTCAGCATTTCAGCCTTCAGAAAAAAAAAATAAAAATCCTGGGTTTCAGTGATGCAATACAGCAGCCTTTTAGTAAGCCAGGAATGCTACCATCAACCCCTTCCTGATGGGGCAGTCTTAATTTTTTATAAAATCGGAGGTGTTAGAATGGGAAATATTTTGGTACTGCCTTTCAGTGAAGGGAGAAGTGCTTTTTATTTTAATAGATTGAACTTCAAATACTGTCTTTCAGATATCAAAGTGCGCTGTCTACTTACCCACTTCTTAAAGATGCATAAATTAGGATGAAATCCATGTGAAACTTCACAAATTTGAGGAGATTATGGCAGTGTCTCACTGAGTTTCTGAAGGCAGTATTAGGTGATTCTTTTTAGGCTGTATCTAACATAGTCCAGTCAGAAGTTAGTGTTTAGTACTTTAAATGCAGCATATATGTATTTTTGCAGCATGTTTCTAGATTATTATTTGGATTAATAGATAGGGTACCAGTATGCATGCAGCAATAGCACATACATATTTCCTAAAATATTTTGCATATTTGGAGATATTAAGCAGTAAGGAAGACTGCTGTTGAGTCAGGTTAAGGTGCTAACTTGCTCCCGTATAAATACATTAATTTTTAAAGCCAGTTTTACCTTCTGTTGACAATATGGAGCAAAACAACAATTTGGAATGCACAGTCTGTGCATGTCTGGGCTGTTATTGATAAGAAGATGAAAAATTACTGTGTTGTGTTATCATTAATAGGTGTGCTTGCTTTACTATTAATTTTCAGTAAGCTTTTCCAATTGTCACATAATTGCTGAATGCCCTGTTAGTTATCTCTTTGGAAGTAATGGAGTTCTACATGTTGAGAATTGAAGTAAGTGAAGCATTAGGATAATGCAGTTTATAGAATCCCTGCTAGTGTTTTGTTAAATCAGCTTTAAATACCTCTAAGGAAGCAGGAGGAGCTTCTTCTAATTCCCTGCGAATATGAGTTGTCATTTTAAAGAATTCTTGTTGGAACAAAAAAAAGCTGCCCCTATCCCTTTGTCTAGGCAAGGTGTAGTTGCAGACACACACTCCCAGGCACTGTAACTCTTGGTTTATTCTTGCATCTCTGCAGTCTGAAATTAAGAAAGGATCACAGCAGCATTTTCCAGTGCTTATGGCCAAAGTTATTTCAGTATTCTATCAATAAACTCTCTTCTAATGTTATCATTGGGCAGAGTTGTTACTGCATTAGAAATCTAGGAATCAATCATTTTACAAACCCTTAAAAGCAGTTGATTTTTTTTTCCCAACACTGTTAATATAGATGAGAAATAATTAGGAAAAAAAAGACAAATTGTTAACTTAAGATTTTTTTCTCCACCAAGTTTGAAGTATAGCATTTGACATGAGTGAAATTCAATGACAAATTGTTTGTCTTGGAATTTCAAGGGCTGAAATTGATTATAACCAAACCAATTTTTGACAATGAAACAAATTTTTTACAGAGGTTTGGTTTTGTTTTTGTTTTTTAACAGAATTTAAGGTTCTTAGCAACTTGAGCTGAAAGAATATTTGCTATATGTAGTACAAGATACCACTTCATAAGAAGAAATATCTTAAAAGCTGAGCTAAAGCTGCCTTTCCATTTAAAATATGCATACCTTGTGAGGTGTAGGAACAGAGTTCCTTCTGGCTACTTTAATTTTGTCTCTATAGCCTTGCAAATGTGGTCCAGGTAGCATGCCCTTGCAGAGAGAATCTGAAATAGGTACCATGCAAGACTCTCAGCTCCATTTCAGAAAGGTAAATGCTTCCCTCTGGTCATCTTGAAGCACAGAGATGAAATTCTATCCCCCCTTAATTTCAGGGAGAACTTTGTCATAAAATGTATTGGACACAACCTTTCATTTGGCTTCCTTTGGTATTTTTTTTTTTGATGCTGTAGGCATTACAAGCCTACATCTCCTTATGTAATAAAGTAATATAGGTAACCCAAGAATTACAGGTAATTTGCAACTTAAGACAGATCAACAAATGCTGGTTCCAGCAGATAGAGAATTTATTACCCTGAATAAGGAGTTGTATCAGAAGGTGGATGGGGCCAGGTTTAGTTTATAGGAGGTTCACAAGTCAACCTCTCTTTACATCACATCTTTTGACCTAGTACCATGAAACTGGTCCCATGATCCTTTTCAGTTTATTTGTAGGTTGACTGGGGCACAGAAAGATTACAGATCCTGTTTAAAATCTGTACAGCAAGACTTTTGACTGTTGTCCAGTAGGCCACAAGATACCCCAGGCTTCCCCAGCACAGGGCACATAAAATCCAGGTCTCAAACTTTCCATCTGTAACACGCAAGGAGTTTTTCTGCCATTGTAAAGCACTTTGAGATGTCAGAGCTGTGCTGTAAGTGTAACAGACAGGGAAGTGAAACGGAAATAGTGGTGAAGCCCCAGTGCTAAATTAGGATACTCTCATCACTCCCACCTTTCTGGTTTTCCTCTTGTGCTTTGGTTTCTGCGAGGGAACTCAGGAATGGGAGTTCAAAGGGAGCCGCAGAAACCACTCCTGACCTGGACATTAGGACCATCGGAGAAGTGAAACTCTGCCATAGGTACACCAAATTCCTCCTATACTGTTAAAATTGTTATGCTTAATCAACGCTTTACAAACAAAACTGTACAAGGAGGAGCAAGAGCTGCTTGGGAAATTTGCACTGATGTGCCAGCAAATTGCTTGTGGTCTGTGGGTGAGGTGTTGACCTTTATTTGGTCCAGGCAGTAATTCTTAGGCACTTCTGGTAGCTGCAATAAGGGAAAATCAGTGCTACTCTGTGCTGAATGTTTGTTTTTAAGACAAAAGCTGTGATTCCATAGGTGGGGATTGCATCCTGTTCAGAAACAGAGTGAGCTGTTCCCGGTGCTCAGGGAAGCCTGTAGCTTTGGGTCTTTCACACCTACTTGC